AAAACTAAAAATTAATTTAAAATTTATCAACAATTTAATTAAATCATTTTACATGATATTAGTGTTGCAAATAAAATTTATTTTCATAAATTTTATGTAAATTAATAATAAAAATATGTAATAAATACACTATTAATTAAAAAAAAACCCAATAAAAATGAGATAAATATTAATGTATTGTTCATAGTATCCGCCCCATAATCTCACTGGATCATGAATGAAATTTTGTCGTCCTATTTTTTGTCGTGTGAAAGTGGGATTTATCCTGCCAATTAGTACTCTTATTCTTATTAAGAACATTATTGATTCCTTGACATCTAACTAAGTAATTAATTTTTTTATTAAACTAAGTAATTAATTAACATCTTAGGACAACAACACAAAAATAACATATGACACGTCCACCTGAAAATGTTGACATTACTACTACTACCTCTATTTTTTTATTTTTCTTTTATTTTGAAAGTAACTTTCAATAAAGAAAGGTTACATTTTTTTACCATTTTTTCCTCTATAAAGGCTTTTTTTTTTTGGTAAAAACTTATTTTTAGTCATTTACCTTATTAGATTTGTTAGTTTTAATTTCATTACCTTATAATATAACACTTTTAATTCTTCACCTATTAAAATTAGAAAAAATAACCATCATTTTATAATATTTCGTTAGTTCTGTTAACTGACTATTAACTATGTTAACCAATTATTAAGTATATTAGCTAAAAGTAGATTTTTACCAACTAATAATCAGCTAACAGTTAGTTAATAAAATTAACAGTCAATTAACAGAATAATTATGTTAATTGATTGTTAATTCTATTAAGTGAAAGTAAGTTTTTATCAGGTAATAATCAATTAATATACTTAACAGTTAGTTAATAGAATTAACAAAATATTATAAGTGATGATTATTTTTTTTAATTTTAATAAGTAAGAGGTTAAAAATATCATAATATAATACAAAAATTAAAACTTACTAACCTAATAAGATAAAAGGTTAAAAATACATTTTTACCTTTTTTTTTTTTTTTTTTTTTGAATCGAGGAAAATTTGGATCATTGGAAAAGGAAAAATAGAAATACAAGAAAATTAAACTTGAATGATGTAGGTGGAGTGACTACATAATGATTACACAAATCACGGGTTAAAATATAAAGACAATTTCAATATAATTAATAGACTTTTTTTCAACCAAAGAAAACTACATAAATTACAAATTATTAATATAAAACCCACGATCAGGGAATGCAAAGTTTACTAGAAAGTTATGACTTTTGCTTCCTAATAATGTAACTAAAATTTTTGAAAATTTGATTTTATTATTTTTGTAATGCGAGTTGAAACTTGAAGGCCAAAATATATATGAAAAAAAGAAAAAAAATGGCGGCGATCGTTGAAGAATCCAACGGTCCCTAGTCTTGTCGAGAATTTGGAGGGCTGAGATTACCCGTATCACCCGCCATCGTCCCTTTTAATCAATACTCCAAACTAGATGCCTTCTGCTACTGCAAACAAAAAGGTTGAGAGCCTTGTGCTTCTCTCTTTCTGGGTTTTGGCTTAGGTACTCTATCTTCAACCTTCATAACTACCCTCTTTACTGGTTTCTGAGATATTTTTCATTTTTTAAGATATGATTAGTATGTTGTCTTAATGGGTTTGATGTCATATGGGTTTGTAGTAATCATTTTCCTTAATCATTGTTAGAAGGGCATGATTTTATCATCGTTTTACACTCAAAGCTTTTGTTTTTGTTTACTAACTTGTGCTGTGTGTTTGGAACTTTAGGATGTGCTTTTGATTTTAGCAGCTTTTAGGGATTTATATAATTTGGGTTTTGAAATGGAAAAGAATAGAGGCAGCATGGTTTGATTGAGTTTAGCTTGGTTTAGTTGAGTTTCCATTACATCCTTCAAGGATTCAGTATAGGGAACAAGGAGGATTAGGCTTGAGTTGGATTTTATTTGGGTTTTGGGTATTTGGTAACTGGTATTGAATCTGTAAAATTAAGATTTTTTGCTGTTGATTTTGGTTATTGTTTTGGGAAATTGCAAGTTTTGGATTTGGAGGATTTGGTTTTTGATTGTTAGTGTGTTCCTCTTCTTTTTCTTCTTCTTCTCTCTCTCTCTCTCTCTCTCTCAATCAAAAATAGGTGAACATGGATCAATTGGGATCCTGTGGTCCTGTTAACGAATTCAGTTTACAACCAGCTCCATTTCCTAATGATTTAGCTCCTTCTTCTATTGTGAACCAAGATGGAGATTCACAAGACGACTATGATTTTAGTGATGTGGTTCTCAAGTATATTAGCCAGATGCTTATGGAAGAAGATATGGAAGAAAAGACCTGCATGTTGCAAGAGTCCTCAGCAGCTCTTCAGGCTGCGGAAAAATCATTGTATGAGCTTCTTGGGGAGAAGTATCCTCCACCAAAATATGACCTGAATCCTTGTGTTGATCTGAAGCAAGAGAGATTAGATGAAAATCATGATCAAAGTTATTGGAGGTGTAACGGTGACACTATGAATACTAGAAGCTTTAACTTGATGGATCCTGGATGTAATTGTTATCTGGGTGAGCACAACCCCTTTAATTCTCAGTCTCTTTCTCAGTCATCTCATAGCTCAGGCGCCAATGCAGGTAGTGTGGTAGATGGTTTTGTAGATTCTCCGGTAAGCACTCTTAGGCTTCCTGAAATTGAAATATTTAGGGAAGGCAAGCTGCAATTCAGAAAAGGGTTTGAGGAAGCAAGCAAGTTCATGCCAAATGCCAGCAGTCAGTTTGTTGATGTGGAGAGATATGGATTATTTCTTGAAGAGCCAAAAGAAGAGGCTAAGGACACCTCAGATACTGTTGCTAAGAATGACCGTCCAGCAGATAGCTCAAGGGGAAAAAAGCATCGGTATCCTGAGGTTGTCTATGAAGAAAATGGGAGGAGTAACAAGCAACCTGCAGTTTTTACTGAATCCACTGTGAGCCCGGAAATGTATCATAGGGTATTGGACAATCAAAGTCAAAATGAGTATCGTCAAGCTTTGCAGAATGGCACAAGCAAGAATGTGCAGCAAAATGGATCATTGAAAAGGTCAAGTGGTGGAAAGGCCCGTGGGAAGAAGCAGGGAAGAAAAAGGGATATGGTTGATTTGAGAGCACTCCTCACCCTTTGTGCACAAGCTGTTGCAGCCGCTGACAGTAGAAGCGCGAATGATTTCCTGAAGCAAATCAGACAGCACTCATCACCTATAGGGGATGGGATGCAAAGGATGGCTCACTACTTTGCTGATGGACTGGAGGCACGCCTAGCTGGCTCTGGGACTGAGACGTACACTGCCCTTCTCACCAGGCCCACATCAGCTGCTGATGTTTTGAAAGCTTACCATCTGTTAGTTGCTGCTTGTCCATTTAGGAAGGTCTCTAATTTTTTCTGCAATAGCACAATTATGAATCTAGTTCAAGCTAAAAATGTTGCACGGCTCCACGTTGTTGATTTTGGTATTCTTTATGGTTTTCAATGGCCTTGTCTCATACGGCGTCTCTCGTCTCTTCCTCATGGAACCCCTAAGCTTCGGATTACTGGTATTGATTTACCACAACCAGGTTTCCGTCCAGCACAGAGGGTTGAGGAGACAGGGTCTCGTCTAGCAAACTATGCAGAGAATTTTAAAGTTCCTTTTGAGTTCAATGCAATAGCACAGAAGTGGGACACCATTCGAATTGAGGACTTAAAGATTGAAAGTGATGAGATGCTTGTTGTGAACTGCATGTTTAGACTAAGAAACTTACTAGATGAGACTGTAGTGGTCGATTGTCCAAGGAATAAAGTTCTCAACCTTATCAGGAAGATTAATCCAGAAGTTTTCATACATGGGATTGTGAATGGGGCCTGTAATTCTCCTTTTTTCATCACAAGATTCAGAGAGGCTCTCTTCCACTATTCTACTTTATTTGATATGCTTGAAACTAATGTTCCCCGTGAAACTCAGGAGCGTATGCTCATTGAAAGAGAGTTTTATGGACGGCAGGCAATAAATGTCATTGCAAGTGAGGGCTTAGAAAGAATTGAGAGGCCAGAGACATACAAACAGTGGCAGGTTCGGAACTTGAGAGCTGGGTTTAGGCAGCTGCCATTGAATGACGAGATCATGAAGACATCTAAAGAGAGGGTTTCAAGCTACCACAAGGACTATGTAGTTGTTAAAGATGGCCAGTGGTTGCTTCAAGGTTGGAAAGGCCGAATTGTTTATGCACTCTCTTCTTGGGCCCCTGCTTAATAAGTGCACACTTGATACTGCTCATGAAAAGCAGGATTTTGCAAATCCCTGGTGTAGGCTCACCGCCCTTTTGCTATGATCTTTTGATGGATTTCTGATATATGAACCTATGGTAATTACTACTTGTCTTGCTGTCTTTGCTGCATTTAATACAGCTATAAACTTGATAGTGATAATTGTTACTGTCTTTGCTGTGCAGGACAGGGATTAAAAAATGTTTGCTGCTGGTTGTCATCTTGTGGAAGTAAAATACTTAGATCAACTGCAGGTTGCTTAGTAGTTATCAATTTGTTAGAAAGAGCTGAAGGCTTCAAGTGCAATATTGCTTCAACAGTTTTCAATTCTCTTTGCAATAGGTAATTGTAATACCAAACTCTCTTAGGCATGACTGCAAAAGTAATAGCTTTTACAACTTCATACCTATATAAGTGAGACAGTATGTTATAGGTTAATGCTAGAACTGTTAGATGAATGAGTGATTTTAGGGAATCCCTAAAACATGTGTTAGTGTTTGCTAATTCTAAGAGGCGCTAATGGGCGCTCCTGCCATGCATTTCTTGTAATTATCAGTGTTCTATGAAGGGATTGAGATAAAATCTTTGGATTAGGAAGGATGTATTGCAATAATGAAATGATCTTCTGTTATTCTTTATTGTATTTATTATGGTCGTTTCTTGTAACGTTATGTTACTATCATTTTCTCATTGGAGAAGCAAACTAATACAATGTTCTGAATCCATTGGCAATATGTAATTGGAGAATTAGTCAAATGGGTCCATTCTGCTTAACTTCATCTTCTCTCTGATAAAATGTTTTATGGGAAGTTGCACTTGAATTTTAAAATTATAGGTCAAAATTGAGCCTGAATCTGATATGATTATGGTGATGTAATTGGCTCATTCTTGTTGCAAGTGATGTGAGATTAATTTGATGTCATGGATTACGCAAAATGAAGCCCTGAAATTAGACGGGTCAGAAGTTACATTTCCTAGCCGAAGAACATAGATTTTACCAAATCCCAACCTCCTCTTTTTAGCACTCATTTTTATATTCCTTGAAAATCTCTGGACGGCAGCCTAGGTTACATACATTGGTTGGGGTGTGCAGTACATCCATGAGTCATGACCATGACCGTGATTCTAATGAATCTAATCTCATTGAAGAGATTTCTAGTTTCTACCCTTCCCCATGTTCCTTAACCTTAAAAATAATAATAATAATAATAATAATAAAATCTCTAATTATAATTAACAAAATTATTTTCACTGAAGGTGTAAACAATTCTAATCGTCCCGCGGGTCTGTAACTCTTAAAAGTAGAGTGTTATTTGATATTTGTGAATGAATTGGTTTATAATTTTTT